AAAAAAAGGTTTGTATTGGAGCCATTTAAAGAAATGAGACCAAGTTTTATAAGTCTAAACTTAAATCTGAACGGTTGTTAAAAATAGGTTTTTAAAACAACAGCGGATCAGTTGATTGACATTTATGCATCTCTGGACACAAGAATGCAGAGACGGTATTTCAACAACTTTATTTCTTTTCCTCACCGATGTAACATCCCATCTCTGGCTATTAACTGCATAAGCCAGCTCTATAAATGACACCAACATCAGAGAAAAAGTATCACCTTTGGATCCCCTTTATTCTTTCCCCAGATGTAATTTTTCCCAACACATGAATCAAATGACAGCCTGACATGTGTGCGTCTCGGCCGGCCAGCGGTCCCCCATGGCAATCGCTCTCTTTCTCCTACGCTCCAAACTGAGAGGCTGCATGCTGCCTCAACTTCTCCTCCAATCCATCATTGCCTCTTTCAATTTCCACCTTGGCCCTACAGAGGCCTGGACTCTTGACCAAGTGGGAAAAAGATTAAAATGGAAAAATGTTGCTTCGCTGCAGCAAGAGATTTGCTTTTCCGGTTTGTGGGTCTCCCTCACTCCCACTGTGTCAGTCTTTTAATAAAGGCTTACAGGTTCTGCATAATGTAGCATTAGATATCAAGGTTCAAGGGTCTTTGTAGGAAACTGATATTCCAACTTCTGGATGGGGCTGTAAATTCTCCACAGCTCATTTCAACTTATTCTCAGGTAACTGTGGGATTTGAATTGGACAATACTGAAGATATTAAGAGCACCACATGTACTTTCTCATGTGGATTCATTAGCCTCAAATTGGTTGAAGCAGAAATAAATCAATTTGGCCATTCCCCCTGCTCCCTGAAGGACACGACCCTCAGCCGCAGCCTGAAGGTGAATGTATTCTGCAGCACACTGGTCCAGAGTGAACTACAGCCTGCACATGCTTTGTGTCTGCAGAACAGCGTGTCAAAGCCTGCACCTCTGAAGTGTTTTATTGATCTGTGTAACACTGGCCACATTGTTTAAAAGGTGAAAAAGCTATAAAAAATTCAAGAAATAAATATAAAAAAGTGGGATTAAGATGCACCATGAATAAATTGATTTTTTAAAGCATGTTAAATAAATTTTTTAAAGCATGTTAGGCAAACCGTGTTTTACTATGCTGAATCCTCCATAAAGCAGTTGATAAGTACCATGAATCAAAGCTAATGGACCTTTGTTATGGGTGTCCAGGCATAGCAGAATGCAGAAAAATATCCTTATTTGCATCTCCTGATCTTCATATTAAAAATCCGGGCTGTATCACTATTCACTGCAACAGGGGGAGCTTTTAGAGCCACCGAGTTACTGGTGCAGTGCAGCGACGTAGAAAATTTATGATGGTTTCAGAACCAGACTGTTGGAGGGGCTGTTATGATATTGGGGTGGGTCTCATCCTGCAGAGCTGGTGAATTAAATTTTGTTAAACAGCAATGATATTGATATTCTATCCACAGTCATTCCATGTGGACACAAACATATACATAATGCATACTTGGTGAGTTTTAAATTCTGTTTTTATATTTTGCGCTTCTGCAGCAAATTACAGACATATGTAACAATTACGCTATATTATTCTTTATGAGTTAAATTAGCAAATTAGGCTGGCAATCAATTCTGAATGCAGTTACTGGCAAAATCACATGTGCTCTGCTGCCATCTGCTGGCAGCTGAGATTATGAGCATGAATGTATATCTACACTGACGGCAATGAAAGAGTCTCAAATGTACAGTCACACAGAAACATAATTTTTCACAAGATTTGCAGTTTTATAACAGCCTGATCTTTTCTAGAAGGTTCTATGGAATAATGAAGTTCCATAATAATTTCACAGGCTTTAATTTTGAAATGTTTCTGTGAAGAATAAATATTCATAGTGTTGACCTTTCCATTTTGAGACTTCTGCAGTTTTCCCAGGGAACATTTCTCAAGGGTCTGGGTTTTGTTGTGTAACTGTTTTCTGGGGACAAACCACAGTTTCTTTATGCTTTCAAGATGTGGGAAGTTTTCAGACTGTAAAAATTTAAATATTGATCCCTGAGCCACTTGCTTGTCATTTTGCCTTAAGACACGCCACTCAATGTTAAAAAAAAACCCCTCAAGTTCTTAATAACTTGATAAATGGTTTAATGGGTTGAAATTAAAGTCACTTTTCAATATTTTTGAATTGAGGAAAACAATTATTTCAAGCACCACTCCATCTTAAAGCAACTTCAATTCAGCCAGAATGCAAAGTAAATTAACCTGACCTATCATCACAGTAAATTCATTGAAGTAATCTGGACTAAAAGAAGTTGAAAGTTGTTTTTCCTATCATCTTTCATTGCATTTGAGTAAATTTGAATAAATTGCATTTTATCTGATAATTATTCACAGAAATACATGTATATATGCAAAATATCTAACATTGAAAAACAATTTTTACCAGAGTTTTAATCACCACTGCACTGCACTGTGCAACCGTTTCATTTCAAATGAAAAGAAAAAGTTTTTGATTTTAGGTTAACTCTAATAAGTATACAGTTCTTGTGATGTCACACATGAATATCAGCATTAAGACAGTTTTCAACCCAAGATATTACAGTTCTTATGCAAGCCTGCATTGAAGTGACAGCAGTGATTCATTAAATCTCCTCTTCAAGCACGAGAAAGCAACATGGGGTTTGCTTATTCCTGGACGCTCTACTGAGCATGGCCATGTTTGGGAGCCTGAACGTCCAGAGGGTACTACTGCCACCTGGCAGGTTTATAGCATGATCATTTGCATGCCGAGAGGTTATTTTGAGCGACACAGGAGGGAAGATATCATTAATATAAGACACCACCTAATGAGAAGAGACAAGAGACCCATATGTTGTGCGAATAAGCGGGAAAATGGTGAGGTGCAACTCAAAAACATGTCTATTACATGAAAAACTGGAGAAGAAAATTCACTATACAATGATTTCACAGTGACCTGTGGAAAAATAAAGTGTTTGTATCCCTTAAATCCTTGAATTACAAACATAAACTTTGGTTTCTTTGAATAGAACAACACAAAATAGTGAATATTCTGATCATTAAACTNGNAAATAATAAGAAAAATGTTTAATAAATTCCCTACAAATAAAAATCTGTAGTGTGGATTTATGTACAGCCTTCCAAGTTAATGCAGAATCACTTTTCACTGCAGCTGCAACATTCTTCTGTAACAGTTCAAGCTCAGTCAGACCGAATGAAAAGGTAAACATTGATTTTCAAGATCATGATGCTGTTTGTTCAACAAACCTGGGAGACTTTCACCAAACGGTCAAATATATGTTTACTAATTAGGTGATTTCTGAAGACAATTGGCTGCACCAAATATTAATCAAGGGCATCATATCATAGGTGGCTGATTATGAATGCACACCCCACAATTAAAATTAAGTTCAAAATAAAAACTGCAGAAACAAATAACCATTTATTATTTTCTTTCTCCTTTTACACTTATTTGCCTCTTTGTGTCGGGTTGGTCATAAAGCACAGTAAAATGCATTAAGCTTTACGGCAGCTTTATGGTATGAATACCTTTGGCAAAAGTTGCAGTGGTTTGTCAGTTTCATGCAGCTACCTATAACTTCAGCAGCATGGCACAGTCAAAGAAAAGCAGCCTGCTTTGGGATAGAAGAATTAATTTCCAATAAGAAAGAAAAGAAAGTCTAATATCAATGAAGCCATCAGCAACACCTGGACCCTGCTGCAGCTCCAGGTGCCTGACTAATATGAATAGAAATATAGATTCAAATGACAACCTCACAGCTACACACACAAAAATGGAGTGTATACACAACAACAAGAAAAGTTGGATTATTTGATCTACAAACTGCACCTGCCCTTTTGACATAAACCTAATCAGCACCAACTACAAATAATCAAGACAAGAAAATGGCTTTTTGTCATTTTTCTTCCTCTGCAGGGAAACAAATAATCACAGATGTGCTTTAGGATTCCCTACAGTAATATTCATCACAGTCTATTAGCATGCTAAATTAAAGCCAAACTCAACTCGTTTATCATAACAACTGACAAGGCAGAACAGAATTGGAGAACATCTGTCTCCACGTTTTATGGTAATGTCAGAAATGCAGCTGAGATACACAGCAAATCCAAAGAAGCGACTAGATAGAGAAGGACAAAACTGCCTTCTCCAACCATCCATGTTTTTCTGACTACACTAGGGGCCTTTTAGGAGAGAAATAAATCTGCATACATCAATAAAATCTTTTTGGGTTTAATGCTAGGGTAATAATTTGATTTGGATTGTTTAAAAAGTAATGCATCTACAATTGTCAGTGAATGAAACAACTCATAAATACAAATCAATTTATAAAATGGACTTTTAAAAACAATACCACAGCAAGAGAGATTTGTCTTTTTCTTTATAAGAGAGAAAGGCTTTATTTCTGTGCTGAAGGGTTTCTTTATAATAAACCTCTTTCTGCAGAAAAATGTCAGAGGTCTGTTGAGATTATACATCCTGGCAAGGAATCAATACAGAATGAGATACAAACAAAAGTAATTCACGGGACCTGTTCAAGGCATCATCAGTTGTGGTCATATTTCACAGGTGATCCTTTATGATCCAACAATATAAGGTTACTGCACTTTAAACTGTGCAGAGGGATTTTTTATTTAGATTTAGCTGTTGGATCTTTGAAATTCTGTTGCTGTTAATTTCAGGTAAAAACGCTCCATAAATAAACTACTTTATACTAATGATTTCTTTGCTAATGCCAGCCAATAGTGTGTCAAACAGCATTGTGTCCAGGTTGTTTCATTTTGCTCTAACAAAACATCTGTAAATTGGCAAATTTCTGTAACTTGATGTTCTACAGAAAAATCCAAGAACATAAAACTGCAAATAGGTTAATTACCAAAAAGGTTTTCAGATTTTTGCATCTATATGGTCATTCTTATCTCGACTAGCTTGCTGCTATGGTACCTTTAGGGTGTGGAGAGGCCCAGGTTACAATGCGGCGCACCAACCAACAGTTAAGTAGGACTTTCTTGGAGAAGCCATGGTTTTTATGCAAGTGCAGCTGGTCTTCCATCCACTGGGTTCCCTTGGTTGGTGAACACATGCCTCACAGCTCACTAATGTATCAGTGGAAAAAAAACATAACTTGATATAAAAAGGATGGCAAAAATGCATTCAAGCAGATTTCTGTGACTTTTCTGCAAAAAAAAGTAATATCAGAAAGCTTAATCAAACGTTTACCCATTTGCACTGGCTAACAAAAACACAAACGGTCCCTACCAAGGTGGTGTCCAAAAATAGTTACAAGTTAAAGTACCAGTACTATGCCTGGTACTTTAAGTATCCCTTGACACCAATGGTGTTACAAGATCTCATACCTCAACATCGTGAATTATTAAAACAGCCTGATATTCTTTTGTCAAAATGAAGTCTGTCCCACAAAGCTAATGGTTAACCAGTAGCATCTCTTTTGGACCTGTTTGTTAATGCTAAATTAAAGGCTTAGCACTAATTCCAGACTAATAGGAGATTCTTTTGAATACAGTATAAGATTTATAAAACATTTTCTATTTATGGAAAATAAAAAGGAGCATTTTAAAATTAGTTGAGTCAGAAGCCATATCAGATAGTTTTTAAGCATGGTGAATATGCAAACCTGGCTAACAGTTAGCTACTGATGCTAAAAATAGAATCTGTTTGTAACATTAAAATGTCAACACAATTAACTCCTAAATCAGAGACAATTATAACAGTTATGTTATCATAACATCGTGATATGTTTTGCATCACGATGTGTAAAACATATCACGGGTTTTCTTAATACAGTGCAGCCTTCCATTGGAGCACTTTTTGTAATCAGTGCTAATCTAAAAGGCTATTGACTAGTTAAATATATATATATTCCCTTTTACTATTCAGAATTTCAACAAGGAACTGGATCATCAGATATAAAAAAACAGTTTGAAATTGATTAAATCTCTTTTCCAATTTATTCATGCAAAACACAAAAAGGATCAGCTAATGTTTTTGAGCCACTTTTTATTGGTTTTTGTAATGTTTGGCAAACCATAAGCTGCTAATGATGATAAAGTTGGCATCGGTTTTTTGGTTTTTATTGGATGTCAAAACAGTCAGGATTGTAAATAAGAGCTTTTCCACAGTTTTTAATGAGTCCAGCTTGCATTTAATCATCTTTAGATCAGAAACTAAAATGCTTAAACTGATAAAACCTGAACTGGATTATTCTCTGAACAGATTTGGCACACTGTTTGCAATCCATGAAATTTTGTTCTAGCTATAAAAGCATAAAAAAGAAAAATTTCAATCATTGTTTTGACAAAACTGACGAAACTAAAGTTAGGGCATGGTTTGAAGGTTTATAGTGACACTAAACTAAAGGACCATTTCACAGCTTTAAGTAATTGACTGCATTTGAGGATATTTGGTTAAATACTTATATAAATCCAAATGGATAATTTTGTGCTGAATAGATATACTTTAAAACACAGTTTGAGATTCACTAATTATTTGTTTTTGTGAAAATACAAAACAAGGAGCATGTTCAGAGTTTGTTCTACTCCAAAATTAGACAAGAATCTACAATATGTGACATGTCCACAATTCTTTTACACCCCTTATTTAAGGTTCCTCAAAGCCAGTTTATGATTTGTAAAGATTTACACTACACAAACCAAAACATTAGGTTTTCCCCAAAATAGTTAAAATCTCATTTCACCAAATTCTCCTGAGCCAGATGTGTCTCTACTGGGAGAGATGCTAATTTTAGGATGCTTCACCCTCCAGTTATACACAAGCATAATAAAGTGGAAAACATTGCAGTGTGCCCTTTCTGAGAAAAATAATTCCTTATTTCATGTGTACTGAGCTGCAGCTTCAAGAAGATAAATTTTTATTTTAATGCCGTTTTTACATTGGGTTTGAAGACATAAATAAAGCAAGCAATACCCTCTTGCTTACTTCTTGCTTAACAATATCCGATTTTGAAATGACAGCAGCAAATATGTTTGACGTGATCAGAAGGAAGAGAAACAATACATCAAGAATGAAAACAATGCTAAATAAAACACGATCAAATGACACCCAGCCTTGGATGAGCCACGAATGCATCACCCTGAAGGTCCAATTATACAAACAGAAGTTAAATCCAAATATCACTGATCACTCAGCTGCTCCAACTGCAGAGCTTTTTGTTCTGTTGCCTCAGATCAGAGATTAGCATCATCCTATGCAAAGAAATTTAGATCAAGCAACCATCAGCTGTTCCTTCAGGCATTTCCTTACCTTGAGGTAAAAGAGAGAGGGTGTGCTTCTTCTGCTTTCTTAGGTCTGCAAGTGATCCTCAGGTTTCACACAAGCTTTTTCCCTTTCCTGAGCTGATCAACAGAGTGTAAAGTGGGTGGTAGGAGGAGGAGGAGAAAGAGGAGAGTGGGGGCTGCACAATAAAGCAGCATCAATGAATGGAAGAGAGACTGATACACTTCCTAAAGGACACTGTGGCTACAAGTTAGAGGACGGATTTAGAGGTGATATTCAGAGTCTCTGGAAGCTCCATTGACAGGAAAAGTCTTTGAAAAAAAGTCTCTCTTGAGTCCCTGAGCTCCCTCCAATACATTAGTGTCACAAAATTGTAAATTTTACTGAGGCAGATCAGCAATGGTCTGTGGTTTATTCTTCAACGGAACACAGATGTTTTTTTTATGCCAAAATACTTTCAATTCTATGCAACTAATTTGTTTGCCAATTTAACTGTGTTAATTTAATGAAACAGTTTTACAGAATTAAGGCTATATAAACATCAGGAACTGTGTTTATCTGCAGGACTCTCCTGGTCACACTTGTCAGATTGTACAAAATAGCATCACATTTCTGAAATAAATATTTTTCTTGGCATAAACCTTTTTTTTTTCTTTTTTCTTTTTTTGCACCTCGGTAGTATTTGTACAACTAATTTTTGGGAGTTCCCCAGTTGTTTTTGAGCAATCACAAAACTTCTGTAGCAAGGCAGGTGGTTTGTTATTGGGTTGGCAGCATACCGAGGAGAGTGGCATCGATTTCAATGTCAATGTCTATTGTATTTATATAACACTTTATAACAACAAGGGCTACACCAAGGTGATTTACAGCAAGAAATACAGATGGCAAAGAGGAGACAATAAAGGATCAAGAGACTCTGAAATACATTAAAACACAGGAAAGGTTGAAAAGCAGAATCCGGTTATCAATATTAACTAGGGTTCAAAGTCAACATGGTCTTTGAGAGTTTCTTAAAGTGGTTAATGCCCTGAACAAATTAATGTGAAGAGGTAGGTTGGCATGGAGAACAGTGCCAGCTACTGCAAATAAATGTGGTTATTTGACTTTAGGGTTCTGGATGCAGATTGTTAAAGGTCACAGTGAAAAGATGGTTCCAGACCAAAGAGTCTTGAAGACTAAGAGAATCTTGAAATAATCCTGGTAAAAAGCTAACAACGGTGTTATTAGCTTACATTTTCGCCTTCCCTCAAGGAGCAAAATGCAGCATTTCTAACAACCTGTAAACGATGGAAGGACTGATCAAAAACCCTTAGAAGTGCAATATTCTGAAGTGTGTAATAGTAAAAGTATGGAAGTATGGGTCCTTCGGGAGAAAGTATAATCTTACTTTCACTAAAAGTCACAGCTGAAAGAAACATCATTGACAGTGGCACCAAACAAAGTGAGTCACTGAAGCTAGACAACCAGTTTCCAGAATACGTATAACAGGTCTTAAAAACCTGATTTGAAAACCAATATTCTACCACATCCTTTCTTTAAAATATTTTAATGATAAACCAATGAAGTGATCGAGTAACCAGTTTTCTCGCATTCTTTTTCTTGCTTGTAAGAAATACAATTATGACTCTTTGATGGCATTAACTCATGTATACGAATTCACAAACATCAGATCCTGTGCCTAACTGATAAATAGTTAAGCTTAACAGGATACAGCAGGATCCTCTAATTGCTTCCACTGAGTGGATCAAGGGATGTTCTGTACCTGAGAAGACGGCAGGGGGGAACCTGAACAGGGAACCGGGAATGCAGCCACGGTTTCTCAGCAGGACAAGACACGCTCACGGCTGAACAGATTGATCCCTTGTTGTGGGATGACAAATGTATGTATGTAGAGATATTTTGTTCATTGTGTTGTAACGTGTAAGATAAACTGGCACTGAAAAGGCCTGGACAGCTTAGTGCCAACTGCTGAATTATTTATGTACAAGCATCAGCTGATCTCAGCTCACTGATATTTAAGACCACCCAACCTCACAACATATCAACTGTAAACCAGGTATCTTTTACTCTCAAGTCCAGACATTCAAACTCAACAATAGCAATGCCATTTTCTTCTATGCAAAGTAATGTTTAGTAAAGTTTATTTGGAATGCGCAGTGCTGGCCCGTGGGTTGTAGCTGTGTCTACGTTTCGACAACTTTAAAATTGTCCTAACATGAAGCTGCAAAATGTTATACAATGCTTCTCTTGGTTTCTCATTTCCAACAATGGATTTAGTGAATTTCTTTAAACTATGCGAAAGGTTCATTGTAGATTGATCTAGTGTTAGTAGCAATTATTAGATCAATATTTCTTTCAACTTTTGGGAATAAACTGAATTACCTTTTATTAGAGGCAACTGCCATTTCAAAATGCCACAACTTTTCTCATCAAAAGTTAGGTCTCCCTCATTAGGAGATATGCATTTGCTGTCCACATGTGACTTCATGTGGTGCAGGAAGCAGTTCACCAAAAGGGGGCAGGGAAGAGGACAGGGTCCTGGAATAATCATGAAAACTCCTAAATATTTCCTATACTCCACACCGGTAATCAAATCATGCCATATGCATGGTCCTTATGTATAAATTTGAGAAAAAAGAAAGAAATAACCCATTTTGAATGCATGTCAATAATTCCTGGCTCCACTTAAAAATTTAAATTATACCAGAATCACATATTCAGATCAAAAATTAAGTGACAAAGGACTACAAAATTACCAAAAGCATTTAATGCCTACAAAATTTAAATAATTTTTACATTTGAAAAAAAAAAAATCTTAGTGATTATTAGTTTATTATTTTATGAAATTGACTTAAAACATATCTGAACAACACTACTAGTTTTTAATGCTGCATACCAGTAATAGTCATGGGCTTTGTCTGCCCACAACTCAAAACTTTCTGGGAAGCCCTGAGGGTGAATCTAAACCGTTATTATGGGCTCAGGGTATGAAGGCGAGAGCTTTCAGCCTGGCATCATGTTACATCCACATGTGAAACTCCTATTTTGAGGTAAAACAGGAAGTAGTTTATGGGTCGCTTTGTTGGGAAGCAGTAAACTACTATATCTTAGCCAACAGTACATTCTTACAAAAAGCATTAAAGAAGTCCAAATTAAATAATTTATCTAGCAACATCTTGGGCATCTGGCAGGGAAAACAAAGACATTTGAAACTGTAAACCACCAATGATGCTATTATTTATTGTTTTATTTTTATGAGTGTGTGTTTGATCATCTCTAGTTTGCACTGGGCTTAGAAAAAAGTAAATATTTAAACAATTAGTAATATCAGAAAAGAGAGCATTTTCAAATCCTTTTGTATGAGACATTCATAAAGACAGTAATAGACCAGTCAAGCCTAAATTTGATTATTCTACATCAGCTATGGATTTTATGCACAAATGAGTGATTTTTAAACTTCAACTCAAACTGTAAAAATCTAAAATAAGGCATTGCTAAAATGTAATTTTCTTATTGTGCATCATATCTTTCTGTAAGCTGGATGCATCTTTACACCTCTACTATTTAAAGACATGCATTTTGTATTCAAATGAAATCAAGGGTGATGTACTTAGAATACATCTTTTCAACACAAATGGAGATAATTGGTGCCAACACAGACTTATCAGTGAGCACCTAAACCACAGGACAGCTGTGGAAATTACACTCTCAGTAATAAAACTTGTTAACTCCAACAAGATAATAAGTGGTAAACAATCACCAGAGCCTGCTGCCAAAATGATGCCATTAACAACTCAACAGAATGCCATCAGTGCAAAGATGAGTTTTAAAACCAGGCTTTGTTGAAAGATTACATCCTGTCAGGCAAACCACAGCATATTTCATGCAGACTACAAATATGTAAGCGGGGTGGAGCCCTAATCACAAGTCATCCTCTCAGATTTGATTATCTGTCCTGCTCAAGATGCCCAATGAAAAACTCCTGAAATATAATCCACATACATTAGATGCTAACAGAAGCCCTTAAGGTGCTTTGTGGTATGCGTAAGAGAAATAAGAGTGAAGCTTCAGATCTCCTCCACACTTTTCCACTGCCTCTCTAATACAGACACCCACCTACAAGATTTATCCTAAAATCAATTCATGCAGCTCATGTGGAATGGAAATGTTTGTGTTCTGTTATCAAAGCTCTTGCTATATCTGTGTATAAACAACAGGGAACGTAGGGGGGGGGGGGATCTAGCACACTTTCTATGCTGATTGAAACTGCAGCTCACCTTGTTAAAAAGCATTCTCAGATGTACTGAGGAAATGCATCAACACTAGAAACATCTTCCAGAAGAAACAAGTTTGTTTAAAGTAGCATCGTACTACGAGTCTTGTTATACTTCTTTCTTTTAACCTCTAACTCTTTGTGAGGACTTAAAGGGATTCTAAACCTCAGAATCTACAGATGGATTTGGAGAATAATAATGTAGCATATTGTAAGGAATTGAAAATGCAGATAAAAGACAAAAGGATTTGTTTAAAACAAGCAGAGCATTTCTAGAGAGTCATCCAGGATAAAGAACAGGCTCATTACAGAGGCCATTACCGGCTGAAAAAGAGGTTTGAAACCAAAGAGTGTCCACTGAATTAAACACGCTCACCTCCATTATCTTTAACGACCACTGAAAACTTTACTGAACATAGTTAGCTTCTTTTACTCATTATCTAAATAGTAAGAAATTTTATGAATCATTGAAACAAAATGTTTGGGTTTTTGGAAGTAAACTTTTATTTTGGCCAAATAAAAATTCCTAGAAGATTTAATTTTCCAGAAAGTTGAAATAAGATTGGGTTGGATATAAATATAGATGTATTTTCCTTGGCTTGTGTCAGTGCATCTGTGGTGCTCAATTTACTAACAAGCTGAGTTTTTCTTAATGTTCCTCGTCAAACGTTTGTACTGCTTCAGTAATAGTAGGCTAATATATGACCCATCCAGTAAACTGCACAGATATTTGTCTTTGAAATAACTTTCAGTCTGAGCAGACTGAAAGTTGCTTTCTAGGCGTCGTTGCCAGATTAGAGGATCAGCTGGGTCAAAATTTCTATCAGTGTCTCTCTGATTA